TAAACGTAAGTAGGTTAGTTTAGTTAGTTAGTTAGTTACGGTTTACGTTACGTTACGTTACGTTACGTACGTACGTACGTACGTAACTTAGTCTTCTCTCTCTCTCTCTCTCTCTCTCTCTCTCTCTCTCTCTCTCTCTCTCTCTTGTTTTAGCTGGAAATTGGCCTGAATTCAATCTCCCCGTAAGCTTCAGTTTGATGGATTTTGACATTTTTAATTGAAAATATTTTGGAAAAGGCTGTGATGAAATTTGAACCAAGCTTCTACAAATTTACTGTCATATTTTACAATTGGGTGATTTAACAATGAATTGTGCAAACCCAACTTCATGACTTTGGTTGATATCCTTTGAAACGAGGGAACCTTGATAATAAAATTTGTAATTTTGTACACTACCTAAATGTCGAGTGATGAATTAATGGATATGATCTGTATTCACTTCTAAAAATTTATTCAGTTCTTGGTACTATTATGTATTATTAAATTTTAGAATTAAGAACATTTCATTTGCCAAGGAAAAAGAGCCTTTTTGGTCCTAAGCAGCATTAGGAGACTGGGTTGAGTCCACTTGGACCTTGCCCTAGTGGCAGGAGAGTGGGGTGCCCAACTCGCAGGGCATCGAAAACCCCCTACAAAATACAAAAACAACGTTAATATAAATTTTTTTTGATAGTTTTAATTAGAATTTGGGAACTTTCATGTTTTCTGTTTTTATTTTTTCTGAAATATTCAAGGTATAAATCAAAGCTTTCAATGGTCCATCTTTTGTTTATTTTTTTATTGGAAAATTGTTTCATGCGGGCTGGACCGCATTGCTACATATGCGGTCCCGAAAGTGTAAAGCATCCATCTTAAAGATGGATGCAAGTATGTGTTCCATCAAAAAACAATGGAAACTAAGGGTCCAAATGTTTTCTTACTAGAATTATTACTTCTAATTTTTAAAATTTATTTATGTTTTTCATATTCATGATCTCCATGTTAGAGCTTACATATCCCTAAAAACTTAAGTCCAAAAATCCATCTCAAAAATAGATTTATTAAGAGGCCTGCATTTCTACATATGCGGGCTTGGCTGCATGGAAACCGGGTCCTTTTCTATTTTCTTTGGTCTTCTAGATTTCTATTAACTTTACTTTTTTTTCTTTCTTTTTTTTTAATTTTTTATTTTTTACTTTTTTGGAGAATTTTTTTTACTTTTTTTCTTTTGACTTTTATACATTTTACAAGGGTGTACGTAACTCAGTTGAGTACTGAGTTACTTGCCTAGGCCTAGGGCCGAGTACCTTTGTCGGGGCGATTTCCAAAACACTGGTCCTAAGAGAATCCCTCAAGCATAGTGGCCCTTTCGTTTCTTCACAATTTGAAAATGGGGGATAGATATCACACCTTTGGCTTAACTAGAACACATGCTAACCAATATTACTTTGCTGAATCTGTAAAAAAGCTATATTGATAAGTTATGAATCAAGAGGGGAAATTATAAAGAACCTTGGCATATGCATGGGATTGGATATCTTTTATATGAATAGAACAAACTGAAACTCAAAAGAATTATGTAATTCTCGGCAGTGAAACTTTTGGTACCAATCAATGGCAAGACATCCATTCATGATCAATTGATTCGCCATAGCCAGTTTTATCATTTGCTGCCCTGTTCTTTTTGGGGATGAATCTATGGTTATTGGTAAAGGTGGCATGGGAGAACTTATGGATTCACCAATACTTGTTGCTCATAATATTTCTGAGATTATTAAATGAACTTTTTTCTCAAAAACCACTTGTCGCATATTATAATTTTCATGTTATAGTCAAGTCTTTGGGCTTTATCTGTAAAGAAGATGACTATCTCAGTCTTTGTTCTCGCTAAAATAAAAATTGGTTCTTTTACTGTACATGTTTATCCGACTAGACTACAACTTAGTTATGATCAATAAAAAGATACAAATACCATCATGCTTTTTCTCAGGGAATGGCTGTGGTTGCTCTTCTTAGGCATTTTGGATGCCCATGCTGGTAAGATCAAAGTCCAATGCAGTCCAAGTCATAATATTTTTGCTTCTTACTTTCTTAACAATGATCTTCCGTTTAGTTCATGGAAATTGGTCTCATTGAACATGTCCATGTGTACAATTTAAAGCGTGGAAGTAATAAAAGTTGTGTAATTAATGTATTTTAAAGCTGGGAACTTGCATCCGTGCTGAAAGACTCAATACCAACACTCGATTCTGCTGGAGTGAAACTCATTGCTGTTGGTGTTGGTACCCCTGACAAAGCTCGTATTCTTGCCAACCGGGTATGCCATTTAACTTTTGATTTCAGGTTTAACGTATTAGTTTAATGATCGTTTTGTCCATTAACGATCTTATTTAATTATTTGACTTGTATGAGTAATTTCATTTTAATTGATGATCGATTAAATCATTTATAGTTGCAAATAAGAATAGCCAGAACTCCTGCCCCATAGCTGAAGCCAACATCCCATGTACTTCAGCTGTCATAATTGTGGTGGTCTACTGCACTAAAGAGCTTACCATGACATGTTACCAAACCCCCTCAAATATTACCATCTTCATATTTCAACTTCCTTGGAGGCCCCTACCTAAGTCTTCTCCCCTCCCACTCTACTGCAACCCCAGGTTCTTTGCTCTTGGGCATGGGAAGGAAAATCTAATATCCTTTAACAAAACCACCCTATTTCCTTACAAATTTATACCATATTACCATCTAGTACTTGGATAGTTGGATCGATGTTGTTAAGCCGTTGATCCTTGCCTTTGGATGTCATTGGCTTGTGCCCCTAGGTTAGTTATTCCATTGCATAAGATTATTTGTAAGCCATTGAACCTGGCTTGGGTTGTTTTGGATCACGTAAAATAAACTAAACTCAAACAAGACTTCATCAAGGTCAGAGCATGTCTATAAGGGCTGAGACTGAAGGTCAGAAATATTTGATCAATATGAAAGCACAAAGCTTGAGAAATGGTATAAACATCCTAGAGCCCAACATATAAATTTTGCCCAAATGAAAGCCACATTATGTGTTATAGTACTGGTCAACGTAGAATCTAACCATATTGGATTCAGATCGAAGTGAAACTTCGGTGGTTGATCAATAGCCGCATGCTATGCTCATGATAAAATATTGGATCATGTTTTACCCACCTTAGAGGTTTATCGGCTGTCAAATGTGACAATAAGTGTCTGATTGTGAACCTATGGTTCAAGTATTGATGAAGAATTGGAAGCACAAAGGCTTTAGATCAATCTTCCCTGCCAGTCAGATATGTCCATTAAGCCTGACTTCCGGCCTAAATTTTGAGATTCTATCAAACAATCTCGGATCAAGATGATGTGGGTTTTTAATCTAAGGCATTACCGGCCTACTTCCCAATTCCTAGAGCATTTGAACATCATTTGACCTACGTTTGGAGTACATTGATGGTCAAAGCCGACAGTGTTTGACAAAAACTCTTAGGCAAATAAACAGTGCTTGATGGTCAAGCACTATTTATTTGCCTGATACGTCATCAATAGTCAAGGGTTATGTCCATTCGCTATCAGGCTCTATATGGTAGCTACATGACCTTTGGTTCTTAAAATTGAGATTTCTCCCAACCTATAAGGACTTTTTGAACTAATGGATTCCTTTCTCAATTCCTCATCAACCACAGGAGGGCAGCATCTTAGGAATCTCTTATGTGAAAGTGGTTGAAGTTGAAACAGTCGTCATCAAACTGTCTTAGAGTTTAACCTCTGGACCCCATATCTCTCGAAATATGAGGAGTTTATGCGCCAAACTTTGTGGAGATGTTCCCCTTACATTCCTGTACATAATATCGTACTCCCGTGGTCCATAGTTATCGGGTGCGAGTGCGTTCCCGGGAGCGGAAGCGGGAGCTGGCTCGAGTCCACAGAACCATGGATTGCTGGAAAGTCCTTGTGGTTAGGATCGTCGTCCATACAGTCCTATAGAAAGGGATCGCAATCCTTGTTACAAGGAAGTGTAAGTTCATATGAATCAGAACCGAATAGAGTAAACATCATATGCACTACATCATACACTTGGAAACCGCTGTTCAAATCTGTTGGGACCTAGGATCGCAATATAGGAATCTGCGTTCCATCCAAGATCCCTAGCTGGAATTGTGGGATCAAGATTTTGGAGCGGGTAAGGACTTTTCTCATGGAACCTGAACTAATTTATTCTGACTCAATTCCCCATCAATCATGGGAGGACAGTGTCTTAGGAATTTCTCATGTGGAAGTGGTTGAAGTTGAAACAATGGTCATCAAACTGTCTTAGAGCTTAACTGCTGGATCCTCATATTTCCCGAAATATAAGGAGTTTCTAAACCAAACTTTGTGGAGATGGTCCCCTTACATTCCTCTACATGATATCTTACTCCCATGATCTATACTTTTCTGTGGCAAAGTGTTTTAATCCGCAATGGTCTACCCAAATCTACAGAAGACGAGGGTAAAACTTCGACGGGGCATATTGTTGCACGTGGAAGCCCGAAACCTGATGGGTTGATTTTTGACAAATAAAGTATGAAAAATAAAGTATGAAACACATACCACAAGAACACAAAGACTTACGTGGTTCACCCCAAAAGGGCTACATCCACGGGCACAACAAACTGAAATCCACTATACCAATGAAAGTTACATTAAAGATTTTGAAACAAACCTCGACGAAACCCAAGTCAAGCAAACCCTTTTAAACCTCTCTCCTTTCCTCTTTACTTCTGACAACCATTATTGAAACACCAGATAGAGATGCGGGAGCAACGAAAAACTAACTTTCTCTTTAACTTAAAGGGGAACAACCCAAAATCTCAATGGGAACTGCTTCTCTACAAGAAACAAATCTCTCAATCTTCAGAGTATACAAGAGATACCATCGCAATATTTCTTTCCATAAGATGCTCTCTTCTCTGAGAGGAAAATGCATCTTATGCACAAGAGGCTTTGCCTCTCTCTCTCTCTCTCTCTAGAGGAACCACCATTCCCATATGGTGACCCAAATAGGGCACATAAATTTACTGCACTTTCATCTTATATATATAAGATTAGGAATCCATACTAAATAGGAAACTTCCGAATCCATACTAAATAGGAAACTTCCTATAGATGTTACATATATCTCTAGAATCAAGAGGTATATATCCAAGAGTCCTAATCCTTTTTGGATTTCTATTTTCTTTAGAAAACTTACCAATATCAATCTCAATCCTACATAATCTAGGATTTCTTTATGTGGGTGATTTTGGATACCATTAAATCCAACAATCTCCACCTTGATATTAAAATCACCGACTCACCTTGTCTAAATCCATTGGATAGTTTCATAAACTCTTCATCTTTTGCCACATAAATTCCTTCATCATTCTTGCTGAAAAATAGTGTTTGCTATCAAATTTCTCCACCTCGAACCTTGCATTTGAACCCTTTAGCACCATACCAAAAACCCCAAACCTTGAGCTCTGATACCACTTGTTGTGCGGAAGCTCTATACCCAATGGTTTGATTTTTGGCAAATAAAGTATGAGAAATAAAGCATGAAACACATACTACAAAAACACAAAGACTTACGTAGCTCACCCCAAAAAGGGATACATCTACAAGAACAGTAAACTGAAATCCACTATACCAATGAAAATTACGTCAAAGATTTTGGAACAAACCTTGACAAAACCCAAGTCGATCAAACCCTTTTAAACCACTCTCTTTTCCTCTTTACTTCTGACAACCATTACCGAAATACCAGATGGAGATGCGAGAGCAAAGAGAAATTGATTTTCTCTTTAACTAAAAAGGGAACAACCCAAAATCTCAATGGGAACTTTTTCTCTACAAGAAACAAATCTCTCAATCTTCAAAGTCTACAAGAGGCACCATCGCAATGTTTCTCTCCATAGGAAGCTCTATTCTCTAAGAGGAAATTGCATTTTATACACATGAGACTCTAACTCCCTCTCTCTCTAGAGGTACCATAACAATGTTTCTCTCCATAGGAAGCTCTCTTCTCTAAGAGGAAATTGCATCTTATACACAGAAGGCTCTACTTCCCTCTCTCTCTAGAGGAACCACCATTCCCATATGGTGACCCAAATAGGGCACACAAATTCTTTGCACTTTCATCCCATAGATATAAGATTAGGAATCCATACGAAATAGAAAACTTTCAATAGATGTTACATATATGTCAAGAATCAAGAGATATATATCCAAAAGTCCTAATCTTTTTTGGATTTCTATTTCCTTTAGAAAACTTATCAATATCAATCTCAATCCCACATAATATGGGATTTTTTTATGTGGATGATTTTAGATAGCATCAAATCCAACACATATCTCCCTCTTTGTTTATCTATTTGAGATGAAATTTTGTCATTGGATTCCTCTTTTAGTCCTCTATCTCCATGTCAAATTTCAGGTCCCAAGGGCTTTCCATCGGAGAGTAGAGTCATTTGAAGTGAAGCATGTGCAGAATTGTCAAACTGGCTTGACTGACAGAGTCAGCGGAAATCGTCAAATCGTCATAGCTCCTCATGCCAAGATCAAGTCAAAATGGGGTGGTTATGAGTTTTAAATTTGATTTAAACGGAGACTTTTAAGGAAGATCTGAATTAAATTGGATTGGTCTTTATCTTGTGGAACCAATATGAGAGAGTGGCTCCAACCACTCAACCTTTAGATAAGCTTTGGAAAATTTAAGTACATCAACAAGAAACCATTATATATGTTTCTCTTACACAGTGAAGAAAGGCACTAATCCTTAAGTCTGTCCGCAACATACAGTACTGCAGACAAAGAGAGAGTGACATTCCAATCCTTGAGGATACATCTACCTTGTTCAGGAGAGAGAGTTGCCCCCTGATAGTGTTGTTACCCCTATGGTGCATGGAAATCAAGGAGAGAGAAATATACTCAATGTTTCAACTCACTTGAGGCCCAGATTCGGGAAGGCATAGAGAAGTAGGCAGCATCCCTGGTTATAGTCAGGTATATAGACACCTAGTCCCCTTGGTGCTGATACTTTCTTATTTCTCTGTATATTTTCTTTTCTTGGATTTGTATATGCCTTAAGGCCTGAATCAATGGTGTTCGAGCCTGTATAACGACTTGATGTAAATTATAACGGGGATTGAAAGTCCCTCGAACTCCTCACAAACCTAATCCATATGTAAAAATCCTGGTTTTCCATTATATGAAAATAGGGGTAAATATGATCCCTGAATGTGTTATCTCCCTAGTTATTCCTTATATACCCTTGTTTCCATTATATGAAAATAGGGGTAAATATGATCCCTGAATGTGTTATCTCCCTGGTTATTCCTTATATTTTTGGCAGTCAAAATCGCATATTTTAACTCACACATTTCTGGGGAATCAATGAGTAGTCTGGATAAGCAGTAGATGAGAGAGACATAATCTGAAAGATATTTACAGGACTAAAGGGAGTGCAAAGCTTTCTTTGCAATTCTAGGTACATCTCAGAGATCATATAGATAGAGAAATTGAGAGCTAAGTCTGGTTCGAGGGATCTAGAGAGGCGAAGAACAATGACAGCCCCAATCCCTACTTTACTAGGCAAGGTATATCGGCCTAGTGTGACTTTCCTTGGTTCTTCCATGTTTTAGGAATCCTTCATTAGTTCCTTGAAACCCAAATCAAGGATCTCTGTTCTTGTAAAAAATGAGATTGATGTAATATAAAAGGCATCTGAGGGTCCCCGGCATACCTCTTTCCCAGTAATATAAACAATAGCTCTCAATCATATGTGATTGTGGGTGGACTTGTTATGCCTTTGTGCTTGTTTTTATTCTCTGGTTATTTAGTTATTATGGGAGTCCTATTTTCAATATGACGCATTTGGCATAAATATGTGGTCCCTTGTTTCCTTGCTCTACTCTATCGCATTATGTCATTGATTCTCTCTCTCTCTCTCTCTC